AGAGAGAGAGAGAGAGAGAGAGAAGGAGCAGGGGAGAGGGGCAGAGGCAGAAGCAGACTCCCCCATGAGCACGGAGCCTGATGTGGGGCTCAATCCCAGGACCCTGAGATCATGACCTGAGCTGAAGGCAGATACTTAACTGACTCAGCCACCCAGGCACCCCAATAAATAAATATGTTTTTTTTTAAATATGTTACTTTTTAAAAAGATTTTATTTATTCATGAGAGACACACAGAGAGAGGCAAAGACACAGGCAGAGGAAGAAGCAGGCTCCTTGTGGGGAGCCTGATGCAGAACTTGATTCCAGGACCCTGGGATCACACCCTGAGCCAAGGGCAGACCTCATCACTGACACCCAGTGTCCTTAAATTAATAAATCTTTTAAAAATGTTTGAAAAGGGCAGCCTAAGTGGCTCAGCGGTTTAGCGCTGCCTTGATCCTGGAGACCCTGGATCGGGTCCCACATCAGGCTCCCTGCATGGAGCCTGCTTCTCCCTCTGCCTGTGTCTCTGCCTCTCTCTCTCTCTCATAAATAAAATTTAAAAAAATGTTTTAAAAAAAATAAAAAATAAAAAATAAAAAAAATGTTTGAAAGAAAATAAAAATCTTGTTTGAAAAATGCTTTTGAATACCTGTTTCTTAAAATTCTTTTCATTCACAGTCTTATGAAATAGCCTGGTAACAAATTTGGTACCTGGCAAGGAGAGGGGATTTTCCTTGATCTTTGGCCACTTATTTTTCTTTAAACTGCCAGAAAGGGCTGATTAGAAACAGAATGTAAAGTGTTGGCAAGAGAATTATTGAAATCAGGAAATAAGCCAGAGAAGGAAAGATTGTATATGAGGAAGGATCAACGGAGACTCTAGTGAGGTAGAAAAAGTGCTGTGGAAACAGCTCCCAAACAGAGCAGATAGGAGGCTGAAGTCATGATGTGAGATATTTGAGCTAATGATTTTGGAAGGGATGATATATTCCATTCTGTGACTGGAAAAAGGAGGTTCAAGTGAAGGAGAGAGAAAGTGCCCAGATAAGATCAAGGAACTGAGCACTACATATTAACTAACTAGAATTTAATTAATTAATTAATTATTATTTTGAGATAGAGAACAGGGGAGAGGGGAAGAGGGAGAGGGAGAGAGAAACCGAAGCAGACTGCGTGTGAGCACAGAGCCCCATGTGGGGCTCGATCTCACAACCCTGAGATCACGATCTGAGCAGAAACCAAGAATTGGGTACTTAACCAACTATTCTACCCAGGAACCCCACCAACTAGAATTTAAATAAACATTTGGAAACTAACTAACTAAATAAATAAATATTGGTATCTCTGAGTGTAGAAAAAAAAAGATAAGACATTTGAGCTGATGTGAGAACTACAGGAAGGATCTAGCCATGTGAGAATCTGAAGGTAGGGATGAAGCAAAGGTACAAAGGGTTTGAGTTAAGAGTTTGGCCTCTTCAAGGAACTATATAGCTCAGGGTGGCTGGAGCCTGGTAAATGAGAGCAGACAGATTGACAGGAGCTGGATTCCCAGAGCTTTACAGACTAAGTAGGGAGTTTGGTTTTATATTAAATGCAATGGAAAGCCATAGAGGTCTTTTAAGTAGAGAAATACCATGATCTGAGATCTGTTTTTATTTTTAATTTACTTTAAAATTTTTTTAAGAAAAGATTTTATTTATTCATGACAGACATAGAGAGGTAGAGACACATGCAGAGGGAGAAGCAGGCTCCATGCAGGGAACCTGATGTGGGACTCAATCCCAGAACTCCAGGATCACACCCTGAGCCAAAGGCAGATGCTCAACTGCTGAGCCACCTAGGCATCCCATTAATTTTTATTTTTTAAAGAGATTTTTAGTTATTTGACAGAGAGAGTGAGACAGCACAAGCAGAGGGAGCAGCACAGGGAGAAGCAGGTTCTCTGAGCAGGAAGGCCGATGCAGGGTCCTGGGAGATCATGATCTGAGCCTAAGGCATACACTTAACTGATGAGCCACCCAGACACCCCTATTTTTTATCATTTTAAAAAAGATTTATTGATTTATTTGAGAAAGAGAGAGAGAGGGATGCCTGGGTGGCTCAGTGGTTTAGCGCCGCCTTCAGCCCAGAGCCTGATCCTGGAGACCCGGGATCGAGTCACCCATTGGGGTCTCCTCAGGGAGCCTGCTTCTCCTATGTCTCCTCTCTCTCTCTCTCTCTCTCTCTCGAATAAATAAATAAATAATCTTTTTAAATTTTTATTTATTTACGATAGTCACACACAGAGAGAGAGGCAGAGACATAGGCAGAAGGAGAGGCAGGCTCCGTGCGCTGGGAGCCCGACGTGGGATTCAATCCCGGGTCTCCAGGATCGCGCCCTGGGCCAAAGGCAGGCGCCAAACCGCTGCACCACCCAGGGATCCCTCTTTTTAAAAAATTCAAAAGTTGATTTAAAAAAAAAGAGCACACCCAAGGCGGGAGAGGCAGAGGGAGAAGGAGAGGGAAACTCGAGGAGACTGTACCAAGGGCAGTGCCTTGGTGGAGCTCCAACTCACAACCCTGAGATCAAGACCTGATCTGAAATTAAGAGTTGGTCTCTCAGGGTGCCTGGGTGGCTCAGTCAACTGAGGATCTGCCTTTGGTTCAGATCATGATCCAGGGTCCTGGGATGGAGCTCCAATTAGGGCACCCTGCTCAGTGAGGAGTCTGCTTCTCCCTCTCTCTTACCCTTCCCCTGCATAAGCTCTCGATAGCTGTCTCTTTAAAATGAATTTTAAAAAAAGATTGGTCTGTCAACCAACTGAGCCACCCCAGCACTCCTGAGATTGGCTTTTAAAAGATTACACAAATCTTGGGAAGCCTGGGTGGCTCATTGGTTTAGTGCCGCCTTCAGCCTGGGGCATGATCCTGGAGTGTCGAGATTGAGACCCAGGTTCGAGTCCCACATCCAGCTCCCTGCACGGAGCCTGCTTCTCCCTCTGCCTCTCTCTCTCTCTCTCTCTTTAATAAATAAATAAAATCTTAAAAAAAATTACACAAATCTTTTAAAAGATCTTGGATGGCTTAGTTGGTTTAAGCATCCTACGGAGCCAAATAAATAAATAGGCTGTTGTCTAGAGAGTATTAAGATAAAGAATCTAGAAACTGTCACTAGAGGAAAGAAACAGTATATTTGGCCTGAAGAGTAAAAAAACATGATACTTGTCTTGTGAGGTGGATTTTTAGTTACAACATTCATTGAACTGTTTAGCAGGAGCAAAATAATAGAAAAGAATACTTTTGTGTAAAGACAAAGTTGATAGGTGGGTAGGGAGAGTAGGTCATCCTAAGTTGAATTTCTTGTGTTTTGCTGTTCTGACATTACTTAGTGTGATGCCCATGTTTGTATGGTCAGCCTAACTCACATATCTGCCTTTTTTTTTTTAAAGATTCTATTTATTTATTTATTTATTTATTTATTTATTTATTTATTTATTTATTCATGAGGGACACAAAGAGAGAGAGAGAGAGAGAGAGAGAGGCAGAGACACAGAGGGAGAAGCAGGTTCCACGCAGGGAGCCTGACATGGGACTTGATCCCAGGTCTCCAAGAACTCACCCTGGGTTGAAGGCGGCGCTAAGCCGCTGAGCCACCCAGGCTGCCCCATATCTGCCTTTCAACCAGCCAGGAATAAGGTGGAAAATGTAGTCTCTAGGTGCCCAGGTAAACCTGAGGAGGAGATCTGGTCGGGGAGGGAGTTGTTCCCATTACTAGAAGGAAGAGAAATACCAGATGCTACATCAGGGGAGTTGGGTTTCAGATCAATCAATTAATAAATTTTTTAAAAGATTTTATTTATTTATTCATGAGAGACACAGACACACACACAGAGAGGCAGAGACACAGGCAGAGGGAGAAGCAGGCCCCATGCAGGGAGCCCAATGTGGGACTCGATCCGGGGTCTCCAGTATCACACTCCTGGCGGAAGGCAGGTGCTAAACCACTGAGCCACCCAGGGATTTCTAATCAATTAATTTTAAACTCTACACCTAACATGGGACTTGAACTCACAACCCTGAGATTAGGAGTCACATGATCTAGCTATTGGACCAGATTACATGAATTTAAAGTAATTTATTACATTGTGATATTTGCTATAATATCACTAAAAGCCTATTAATTTTTTTTCGCTTCAGGTTTTATTAAATACATTAGGATGTGAACTTTAAAATACTGTTAGCATACTGTGTTCAGAATTGTTTATTAAAATAACAAAAAATGTATGGGAGGGCATGAGTTAGTCTAGATCCAAGTTGATTTAAAGCTTTGACAATTCCTAGGTTAAGCTTCAGAATTAATCTGTAAAGTGAGGTTGGTAAAAGTCTTTATTTAATAGCATTACTGTGGGAGTTAAATAATTTATATAAAATTCAAGGGTTTTGGTACAAAATAAGGGTTTTGTTTTTTTTTTAAAGATTTGACATTTATTCACGAGAGACAGAGAGAGAGAGAGACACACACACACACACACAGAGAGAGAGAGAGAGAGAGAGAGAGAGAGAGAGAGAGAGAGGCAGAGACGCAGGTGGAAGGAGAAGAAGGCTCCATGCAGGAAGCCTGACGTGGGACTATCCGGGGACTCCAGGATCACGCCCCAGGTGGAAGGCAGGCGCTAAAGTGCTGAGCCACCCAGAGATCCCAAAATAAGAGCTTCACAGGGGTGTCTGGTTGGCTCAGTCAGTAGAGCATGTGACTCTTAATCTCAGGGTCATGAGTTCAAGCCCCACATTGGACATGGAGCCTACTTAAAAAACAAAAAAAGACCCTCCAAAGTGTATCCATCTTGATTTTATGTTGGGCATAATCCACACAATTGGACATCTCCAAATGTTAAATCTCAAAGTCCTTTATAGTTAAAAATGTGTGATTTTTATTGGATATTAAAATTTTAAAATATTATTTTGAAGAGGAAAGAAAAATTAGACTACCAGGTGCAAAATAGAAGTATAAAATTTATTTAAAACCACCCACAAAGTTCTGTGTAATCAGGAATGATACAATTTGCAATAGTTTTTTTTAAAAACTCATGACAAAGATTTAAAATATAATTTCAATTACAGTATTCATTTAGCCTTATTCAGTTAGAACACTTAAAAAAAAACTTTGTGCTCTAAATAAATGAGACACAAGGAAAATATAATAGACAATTTCCACAACTATCTTTACATGTATGTTTCAATACTAGTACATTTCAATGCATTTTGCTACATAAACATGAAATCATGTACAACTGCTGTGCACCAAAATTTAGCTTAATTAGGTCTTTCAAGTAACATGCAATTCCAACTCACAAGTCTTCAAGTACTGCTAGTAAGTGTTCCCTTGTATGCAGAGCACTACATCTTGATCCTGAATTGAAGTCATCATAATTAAGACTACTCTTTCCCTTCTGCATGGTGAAGTGCTTTTTCTTGAAACTGTTTCTCCCATATATTAAGAACCCAAACCAGATTTTATGGAGTTTTAAAATCTTTCCCTTACTAACTTATTTCATTATATGGGATATTTCATACAGTAGGACTGCAATAGGTAAAAATAAATCCCCCAAAGCAAGAAAATCAAAGGTACAAAATAAATAGTAAATATACTCAAAGGAGAGAAAAAGTCACCTAGAGACAGGAATATTAACTTGTGAAATTGGTATTTCTCTATTGAAAAGTCAATGCTACTCTATTTCCCCATAATGAAGAATCTGAGAATATTTTACACCCACTATTGATACTCACTGTCTTCTCCTTTGAGCCAAAGTATTGATATACACGTGAATCTACACGTGATATAGGCCACCATATAACACAAGAGAAAATAAAGAAACTAGAAATTAATGCTTTTCTTTCTGCCAAATAGTTTTATGAGTTTCTCTTCAGGGAACACTTCATGATTTCTTAGTAACTCAAAGATGACTATCCACCCATACATCACAATGCAAAAGCTGCCCCCCCATTTACTATAAAACCATTTCTGGAAAAATATTTCTCTTAAAGCACCTATCACAATGTTATCTGTTATAGAAGTTTAAAAAAAATGACCATACATATTAATAAAATATTTAGTCTTTGTTTTGTTTCTTTTTTTTTTTCTAAGAGCTGTTTTTGTAAAGTCCTATGTTGTCAGCCATTTTATAATATCACAAACAGGCATTAGTGAGGATAGGCAGTTACTGAACCAAATCATCAAATGTGGAATTTATCTGATTATTTAGGTAAGTTTGGGTTTTTCATTAGTACCCCAAAATGTACTCATGGAAATGCCAAAATATCCCACCTCTTTATAGTTATAAAGAGCTTACCCAAAACTTTACAAATACATCTCATTATTTTTCTTAACTCTCTGGGCAAAGGTATGTTTAAACTTTGGACACTTTACGTGGCTGGAAACAAAGCAGAACAAAAAACAAAACAAAACATTTAAATAAGTGGGAGACAGTACTTACTATCTCTTAGAGATGCCAACAACTTTACATTTTTACCACGGGGGTCTGGGAACTAAGTCAGTTTACCCAGCACATTCCCTTCTAGAAACCTGCATTTCAATATAACAAATACATTAAACTTTGATTATGAGTTGCTGATCTCAGTTTTTAAAAAAATAATATTTTTAGACAAATATTACTGAGGTTTCCTTTTGTTTTAGCAATACAGGGACATTCTTCATTAAAAAGCTTACTTACAAGGGGAAAACTACAGCTTCATTAATCTAAGCCCTAATGCAGAAGTCCTGGGAATTTGGGGAGACCTTCCAAAGTATGCATTCAAAAATCACTGGCTAAATAAATAATGGAAACAAAGTTGAGAAGCATGTTTTGCACACAATAAGTAGGTTTTGCATTATTCTTAGATCAGGTCTGACAATTTCTGCTCAATAATACTCTGTAAGTCATAGTTTATGGTGCAGAAATGCATTTAGCAGTCAGTCTGCAGAATTGAAATGGTTTGATCTCAGATGGGTGGACTTGCTCTGTGACTGGAGCAAGGCATTTGCTATTCTTGCCAACCTGCAGGTTCTTTACCAGTAAGAGGAATATTTGGACATCTGTCCAACCCTCCGTGTTGGGGAGAAAAAGAGAGCACACAGTGAAAGCAGTTTGATAACCTAAAACATTATAAAGTCTAGGGGTTATAAGTTTTCTTACTACCATATTTACATTCACAATGGTTCCTCATTTTTTTTTCAGATAAACTGCTACAAGGTGGGAAAAGCTATTCCAGTATGTTTTAGTGTTGAGATGGTGGAGTGAACCTGCAGATTGCTGATAGGAACACAATTCTCCCTTCTTCCTGCACCTTAACTTCCCCCTAGTACATTCACAACTCCAAATACCTGATCTATCCCATCTTTAAGAATTCTCAAAATACTTTCAGCTCATTTTTTAAATCTTTCTCACCCAGATTATAGAATAGTTCCTATTATCACAAAAACCCAAATTTCGAAGGGGTAAATTTACATTGGAGAGTAAAGACCATCCACAAAACTGGGCTGGGGGATAAAACATGTGAAAAAAAATTGTCTACTGTATAAATCAGACCCATTATTAATTCAAAGCCACTGGTCAAACCACTAATAATTAGTATGATGCATTATAGAGAAATAGCAAAGCTATATAGGAATAGTGCTAGAATATTTAACTTCTGATACAAGTTCTTGCAAAACACTCAAACACCAAGAGACATGTTGAGAGTCAAACATTGTTGGGATTGTTAAAAAGTGGATGCTCACCTGTGGTCTCATGACCACTATACTCCTAAAAACTGAATTTGCCTCCAACAGAAAATGACTGAATAAAAGATTGTGATCCCTTTTGGTATTATTCCACAAAAGATTTGTGAATCAGGATTTTAGAAAGCAGGAAAAGACAACTTGACCAAGATGACTGCTGTTCTTAACAAGAACCATGTGTATTTGTGTAGGGACACGGGGAGTGGATGCAGAATAGAGAGGGGAAGCGACATAGTTTTAATTTAAAGAAAATCAGAGGAAAGAATCAAAACTAGAAAAAGAAAGTACATTTAGTGACACCATGGCTTCAGTAAAATGAAAAAAGAAAAATAATAACAAGCAGAGTTTCTGGTCAAAGATGGTTAAGTTTATACCTAGCCAAATGAAGAACAAATGAAATTACTTTTCAACACTGTTTCTCCAAAAGCGAACGTTTCTGACAGCTGCAAGATTTTTTCCTGATGAACAAGACAAGAGAGAATGCCTTTCATCACAGCTGCTAGGGACAAAATTTCTATTTTTAGGAAAACTAGGTTTATACCGTTAAACAAAAGTTTCCCAAGTTGCACTCAAACATAAATCAGTTAAGTCAGGTCATATGTTTAACATCTGATAATAACATCCCTACCTTAGACAAAGTTTTGCTTTAATTATAGCAAGTTATATTACATCTTTGCATTACCTGAAGGATTAAAATATATGCTTTTCGAAGTGAATAATAGTATTTGATTGGGTGCCCAGAAGGAACAGGAATTGAATGAAAGTCATCCAGATATACTGGAAAGCAGAGAATTCAAGTTTGTAGAGTTCAATGTGGACAAAAAGCGAGGTCTTACATAAAAGCCAGTTTTACCATCTCCAAAATTAACAGAGGACTCTTATTTTACAAAAGAGAAGAAAGAAAGCCAATAAATCTCAGCACATTCCAAGAAAATACACAAATTTAGTTTCTGACACGCTGATTTTTTGACTTGCATTCCAGAACCATGAATGGCCTCATTTCCTAAATCTATTAGAAGCACAATGTGGAGCACAATTTGATTTGGGTAAATCCAGACTCTTCAGGAATCAGGACACTGTATCACCTAGTTGAAGTGTGCCTCAACTGTTGATGTTGAAGTTACAAGTTCAATACACTTACAGGAAAGTTTCGGAGCTGTGCACAATAAAACAGTATTCTAATATATGTAGACAATCACATCAAAATTAACTATGCTAGGACTTAATTGTGAAGCCAATTGGCAAGAGGTGTGAATAGACTGTACAACCATGGCTAGGTAGTATATACAATGGGTATACTTTCCCGAACCCTTTCAATCATTCAATTTTTTCTACCTCCTTGTATATGCATATTTCCAGGAGAAATAAAAGCCTGTACTATGTAAGTACCTGGTGTGTGTGTATATATATATATATATTTGAAATAGCTTATTCAGGCTACTGCCACATTTTGTTGGATGAGTTAACAGGATAGCTTCATAGGTAAAAGCTAGATTTCCCACACAAGGCCCACAAAACTCTGCAGGCAGGGGAATCTTGATCCAACTTCATTTGACTGGTTTTCCAGAATTTCTCAGAAAAACAAAAAGCAAGAAAACCCAACAGAAAAAAAAAAAGCCTTTTTAATCTTTACTTGTACCACAATAAGGTTATTTCCCAGGGGTAAGATACTCTCTGGGTGAGCAAATACAGTTTGTTTCCTCGAGTGGCATAAAGTGGCCTTCCTTTGATTGTTTCAATTCTAATTATAAACATAAGTACACATTGACATTAACATCTCCTCTCTGGGCCCCAGTGATTGAACTATATGACTTCTAAGGTGTCTTCTAGAGCTGTGAGAGGCCACTACCATATTATTTCACAATTCTCATCATAAATCTTTACAGAAGGTCAAAATTCACAGTTATACTAAATGTAGACAAAAAGAAAATTTCCATGCATCAAGAAGTTGTGAAATAGAAGATAGCTATATATTATTAAAAGTCATATACAGCCACTGATTTACTCGGCACATTCAAAGGAAATCCTGTGCCCACTATTGGTGGAAGTTGTCATGCAATGCCAAAACTTTGTCGCAGATAAAAAAGAAATATCAATAGGATTTGTTTTAACGAATAAACTTAAGTAGTTTGAGTTATTTTCATACATGCTGGTGTGGAATAAATGATAATCAGTTTGAGTCCACTTAAGTAATAACATTAGGAATTAGGTTACTTTGCATGAATTATTATCTCATTTACACAAGGGTATGCATTCAATTAATTATGTATTGGGGTTATGTCTTAAGTAAATTGCTATGGATCTCATCTAGTTGAAATTCTATATTTAACAAATTAAATTATTTCATCCACATGCAGATTGCATAACAAAGATGTTGGAAGGTTAAGGCTGCAAACATTTTGCTAACATGTAAAAATTTACCTACAGTATACATTTTCAGCAAGCCTCACTTTCAGTTAATATATTTCAGCTAAGTCTATGACATGATGTAGTTGGTACTTTGTGGATGAATTGGAAAGATGTAGGTAAGGCTGATAAGCAGAAATTTTTTTCAACCACGGCTGAGAGCCATTAGAAATGGGATTTTGAAAGGCAGTGTGATATTTTTGTAGGATTCTAAAATAGACAGCTCATTGTAGTTAGTAAGTTTGTAACATAGTATAGACAGGTCGGGTTAACTGGGGGTCATGTATCAATTAATTAAATTATACCATGAACAAGGGCAGAAGATTGAAAAACTCATTTTGAGTACTGTAAGATGGGTAAAGCCAAAGGTGATCGTTCTAGTAAAACATAATAAAAGGTGCAGAAATAATGTTAGATGACCAGTTTTCTGAGTGAAAATGTCATTTCAAACAAATTTATTTCCTTGCTTCATAAAAGCATTCTAAAAGCAGTGTCACTAGCATACAATCACAATTGCTGGAGAACATTGAATAAGCATAAGCTTAAAAAAAAAATCACAGGGCAGACAATGGGAGGGTAAACTGTTTAACTTATGAGAGTCCAACAAAGTAGGAATCACAAGTGGTTCCCACCATGGTGTTATCAATTGAGACAGGACATTGACGGTGTCAATTATAATAATGGAACATTTTATAACATTTCAGTTGAGAAGGGATATTTTCATGTACTTGCTTTGGGCAACTGCAACCAACTTCACAAATCCCAGTATTCTCCTAAATAACAATGGTGGTTCAAGTTTCTTAAGAAACTTACTCAACGGTAGTGACACTGATTTGAACTGCTGCAGATATATTACAATGGAATCCTTCATTCTTTTTGTTTTTACAATTTTAAATAGACTCTATGCCCAAGATGGGGCTCGAACAAGACCTGAGATTAAGAGTCACTTGTTCTACTGGCTGAGCCAGCCAGGCGCCCCTACAATGGATTCTTTTGAAGGAAATTTACTGTTTCTTTGAAAAAAAAAAGGGGGGGGATAAAAGCATCTTTTTAAGATTTTAATTCTTCATGTTTACTGTGTCATGGGTGGCAATTCAAAGAAAAACAAAAGCTAATATTTAAATTCTGCAGACGTTCAGTAAGTGTTGAAGGGAAGAAAGATGGGTGGATGGTTAAAGGGTCTTAAAACTTGATTCATTAAATCTGGTGAGGAGATAATTTCTAGTGGGAGCTAAGGCCTAATATCTAAAACGAAATATCACAAGGGTGTATTCCTGATAGTCTAATACTAGTAAATATCTTAAGGAAGCAGCTGAAATAATAAACAATCACTTATTTATATACTTATATGTATAAGAAACCTTAGGCTCACAAAAATATACATGTTTTAAAACGGAAATCTAAGGCACACAAAATACTAAAGTCAATGAATCACCCTACTTTACATATTCAAAAAGCAGAAATCTACTTGTACAAGATGATGGACTACCAATGGATATTTGTTATATACAATCCCTTCATATTCCTTCACTTGGATTAGTCAAAAGCTTGAAACTGATACTTTGCACCATATATTATTTTAATATAAGTTACAATGAGTTTTTCTTTAGAGCTTGCTGGAACTGTTTGCTTTTGCACCAAAATTGTTGAGTATTAGCAGTTGTGGGCTTCCTATGGCATTTCCAAGGGAGAAGCACCATTATTTAGGTTTTCCACACTCCCAAGGTATCTGACACTTTGAATGTTATAGCACCTCTGCATTTTAATAGAATCAAGTATTTCATTGAAATTTCTTGTTCTAAACATTTTGCTTGGGCAATCCCTTTTGTTTTGTTATAAAATGAGTCAATAAGTAATGGGAAAAAATAATGGGAAGGCTAACATAAACAGAATGCCTATTTTCCTGTTACCTAGAACATAGGCAATTATCAGAGAAGATGAGTTTTTTCCCTAAAACTAATATGCTTAGATAAACTACTTTGGATTAGCTCTTAATGGACAATACCCTACTTTGAACACCACTCCTACTGTTTGGGATGTGTGGATATATGATGACATTAGGGGATTTCTTTTCAAAAGATTTCTATGGGAATTTTATTCTTACTCTACCAGATTGAGTTTCAGAACAAATAAGGCAATTTGGGATGGGTAGGGTTCTGGCTACTTAATTTTTAAATTTTATCACCTTGAAACTTTAGAAGCATTTGACTCTTCTGAATACTACTATGTCCCATCTCCTTTTGGAAAAACCTTTCATGATTATATTCAGAAAGCTGGAGTTAAAGTAAATTGGGGCCACTGTTGCTTGATAAATCAGAAGAGACCACGCTTACTTAGTTCCAAATAAAATGTTAACAGATATTGGTGATATGCTTCCTAATTCCAATTTTAGAGAAAATTAACAATTTTTGCATGTTCTAACTATTTTATAGAAGTAGCTAATATTTGCATGAGAAAGGACAACATTAAAAAAAACAACAAACCATATACATGATTAGAATACATATTGCAGTTAACAAGATGGAACTCTACACAGCAAGAATAAATGATTTCTCTTGTATGCAAATATGCACAAACAATAAACAATAAGATTCTTATGCTATACTATTTCAAGTTACTTTTAAAAATAGAAAGTGCTTTTAAAATATATATTTACAATTTATGAACAGCCTCCAACCATTAACAATATTGAATTATTTTATTTAGGAGATATTTTGAGAGAAAACATTTCATTGGTTTATTTCAAAGGAATATGCCGATTTTCTAGCAATGATTGGAAGATGTTGGAACGATGGCACCATGACATAGTAATGCAGCTTATTTTTAACTGTTGATGTGGGTAAGCACCAGGAGCTGTGTAGAGTTAACACTGTATCTTGATTTTATATCATAGCACATGAACCTGTTAAAATCCTCTAAAAATGACTCTTGTTTCATAGTAAACAGACTTAATTTAAAGCACCAAACTGAGTGATTCTATCAAGGTTAACACCTAACCAAAACATTTCTTTATGTATTTAAAACTATAAAACTTTTATTTTTGCTTAAAATGTGCACCTTCTACCAATTGTCAAAATATAGTCACAGTTAAGAAACACCCACCCCATTTTTGTTGTTTTTTTGTTTTTTACCTCAGCCTTCAAATGGGTGAGATGAAGATAAGTAAACGACAACATGACTTTCTTTTAACAGCACCTTGAAAAAATACACTGCACTAGCAAAGGCATTAAGGGGAGAAAAGCCTTCAGACCCAATGGTTATAGGGCCCTGCAACATGTGTGAGAGCATAAGGGGACACGGTGACAATATTGTCATGGGTTAATGTTAACGCTTTATGAGAAGGAATTTGGTTCAATTCATTAACTTCAGGGGACAGGTCAGGACCCTCATTAGCTGCCTGGTCTTTCTGCTCTGAGGCCTTAATTTTCTTATTCTTAGCTTCTTTAGCCTCGAACTTAATTTTGTTTAGTTCAAAACCATGTTGGGGCTTATTCAGGTTTTTGTGCTGGTAGAAAACAAGGGAAAGGCGTGTGGGATGATTCCGGTTTGGGTGTTCAACAGGAGTGGTCGCATGAAGTTCTCGCCGGGCGCACTCAATCAAAACGGAGCCGTGGGCAGGTGCTATTGCCACCCCACCAATGTTGGCATCTAAGAAGATGTGCTCACTGTCTGACCAATACTCATCGATGTGGGGCAATTTCTCCTCAGTAGGTGACAGGGGGTCATCTGATAGGGGGTCATCTGATAGAGGCTCATCTGCATCAGAATGCTGCTCATCTTCTTCCACCAGAGAGGATGTAAGGTCATGAGAGGTGGTGAATGGGGCTTGCTGGTTTGGATGATTAGAAGGTAGCTGTTCAGATGGACCAGTGGAAGGCTCAGAATAAACCAGGGACTCTGTCATGGGAGTAGACAAGGTGGAAAGAGCAACTACTTCACCAGGCTGTGCAATTCCAGTGCATTCCCCAGCAGCTGCATTAGCACCACTGTGTCTCGCAGAAGGCATTGTGCAGTGGGGATTGCTACTTCTTTCTGAAAACCCGTAAGAAACTGACACATCATTCTTAAAGGGAGCTGTTGTGGCTGATGTGGTCTTAGAGGACCAGGAGAAACCTGGAGATATGTTTGCCTCTTTCAATGTGTGAGGAATGGATGGGGTCAGTGAGTAGGTTTTAGTGTTGTCCGAACCTTTGAAGATAAAATGGGGTTCAGTTTCACTTTTTATTTCAAGTTGCAAGGCTTCGGTTTTATTCCCTAAACAGAGAAAAGGACACCAAATGCAAAGATAAGTACAATACTGCTTTGGGTAGTTGTCTCTAAGGAATATCTTAACACAGAAATACAAAGGATAATATGACAAAATATCGATGATGGTGAGCTTGGTCAGTTTTGTTCTATTGACTTTAAATCAAACACACAAGCAGGCATTAAAAATTGCATGTAGTTTAGTATGCTTTTTCAGCCAATTATTTTCCTTAAAGAACTCTTCTCTTTGCAAATAATCATAAATAAGCACACAGATTTAGCGAGAAGGATGTCCATTGCTTAAAATAGTAAGAGATTAGAAATGATCTAATTGGCTATGAAATAAATATTAAAATCATACAGTAGAATACAATGCAGGTGATAACACAATCTAGAGCAGTATTTCTACCCAAAGATGCTTAGATACATTTTAGATACTGCATAGTCTCATTTTCAAAAAAGTAAAAATAAGTAATAGTTTATGAATATTTCTGGGTCATGAAAACATCATGACCAGCAAACTCAATTATTAGGCAAAGGGAAATCACCTAAAAATTTTTAGTTGAAATAAGTCATTTGTGATCCTCAAGAGCAAGTTCATTTAAGCTTTGTTTCTTTCTCACTAATTAGGTAGATCTCTATTATCACATTGGCTCTTGTAGGCAATCTATTCTGACAAACCACACAAACCACATATCAAATGGAAACATTTTCTTTCAGGATATTCTCCATGTTTTGAAGTTCTAAAAAAATTTTTGGAAGTGTGAAAGCAGCTGATTTTAGGTCAAGTAATAGAAAAGGTAAAATGGCCATGTTTTAAAATAATTAAGAATATAACAGCAACCATTGACCTAATCCAATAAAAAAACTATCAATAAATAAAATGTAAAAAAAAAAAATGAGCAATTTCACCCTCAAACAATACAACCTGGAGACAAGATAATTCCTTCTCTTCCTTTTTTTTTTTTTAAATTTTTTTAAATTTATTTATGATAGGCACACAGTGAGAGAGAGAGAGAGAGAGAGAGAGAGAGGCAGAGACACAGACAGAGGGAGAAGCAGGCTCCATGCACCGGGAGCCCGACACGGGATCCGATCCCGGGTCTCCAGGATCGCGCCCTGGGCCAAAGGCAGGCGCCAAACCGCTGCGCCACCCAGGGATCCCTTTCTCTTCCTTTTTTTAAACATGGAAAGCGTAGGGCACCTGGGTGACTCAGAGGTTGAGCACCTGCCTTTGGCCCAGGTCTTGATCCTGGGGTCCCGGGACGGAGTCCCACATCTGCTCCCTGCATGGAACCTGCTACTCCCTCTGCCTATTTCTCTGCCTCTCTGTGTCTCTGATGAATAAATAAATAAATCTTTTTATAAAAAACAAACATGGAAAGCTTAAAAAAATAAATAACTTGGAGCACGTCACAAATGCCCTTGTGCAGTGGGCATGCTAATCTTTTCTGTATCATTCCGATTTCAGTATACATGCTGCCAAAGCCAGTATAAATGAGACCGTTCTCATTTTTATTTTACTTTTACCTTTTTAGAGTAATCTCTACACCCAATGAGGGACCAAAATTTACAACCCTGAAATAAGAGTCTCATGCTCCATTGACTGAGCCAACCTGGTGCCCCAGTTCTCTTTCTTTTTTAGGGGAGTGGAGAGAGGGGCAAAGGGAGAGGGAGAGAGAATCTTTTTTTTTTTTAGGGAGAGAGAATCTTAAGTAGGTTCTAGTCCCAGAGCAGAGCCCAACTTAGCGTTTGAACTCACAACGCTGAGATCATGACCTGAGCTAAAATCAAGAGTCCAAGGCTTAACCAACTAAGCCACTCAAACACACTGCCTGGTCTCACTTTTAAATAGTTAAGGAGTATTTCACTGAAATGGATAAATCTATTTAAAAAATTATGGGTCAGATTACAAAAGGACAAGGAGTTGTAAGACAAGTATTGTGCAGAGGGCTACTAAAAGGATATATATTATTATAAAGATGCTATTATGGAATGACACAAAGATTGAATATGATAGGAATTTTTAGAGGCAGCATAGAATCAGGTAAGTGAATCTTAAACATACTAAATTAAGTATAAAATGGAGCTACAAGCAAAAAATAATGCTAATTCTCCCTGCCTTGCCTCTCCACTATCTCTTTATTGAATCTTTCCTAGCATTACATAAATGTCTGCCCAGTCATTTCTCTCATTTTACAAAAAACAAATAAGGCAACTCTCCTGGCAAATATATAAAGAAAAAAAGAAAGAAAGAAAGAAAAGAAAAGAAGAAAAAAAGGAAAGAAAGTTAAGGAATACCCTGTAATTCTAAAGTTGAATATCAGTATAAATCCAAGGTGTATTTTTTTCTTTGGACTCCGTGGAGAGATGGCTGAATTTATATATGGGGCAGGATTATATAAGATGAACCTAGAACATCTTGTCAAAACAGCAGCTAAGGAAGAAACTATCAGAGACAATTGGGGTCATGACAAAATTAAGTTCAGAAGCCAGCATGATGGGTTTCTACCGATTAAAGATGGCACAATTTGAGGATTTTTAAAGCATTTTCATATATAATTCGGGGAAAGAAGCCCAATTAATGTGCGCTGAAATATAAACTCTAAGTAGTAATAAATACAGGGGTGTCTGACTTGATAGGACGAGCACTGGGTGTTATACTAGATGTTGGCAAATTGAATTTAAATAAATAAAAAATATATATAGGGGTGTCTGGGTGGCTCAATCGGTTAAGCAACTGCCTTTGCCTCAGGTCATGATCCTGGGGTCCTGGGATTGGGCTCCCTGCTCAACATGGAGTTTACTTCCACCTCTCCTTCTGCCCTGCTTGTGGGCTCTCTCTCTCTCATGCTCACACTTTCTCTCAAATAATTAAAATCTTTTAAAATAATAAATACTATCAATAAAATAATAAAAAATATAAAAAGCATGAGATGAAAAATGACACTAAATTTTAAAAAACTGAACATACTAGAAGATGCCTAGGCACTAACTTTTATTCTGAAACTGGTGAATAGAATCAAATTGCGAAGCATTTATTCTAATTTCTCCGTATGAACCATACCTCAGAATTAACATGTTATTGATCAGGACAATATTTCTTTTGAAAAGCAAATCAACTAACAAATGGAAAGAAGAATGGTAGACTTTGTTACTTCTAATGGAACAATGAATACAGAACATGATAGTACATATTTTTAAAACCAGGAGATAAAAGACTCATGCTGACAACACGGGTACCATGGATCAACCTTAAGATCACAAAAAGAGATACCATCAGACACTGTGCTTCCTCATGTGAAGAAACAAGAATGTAGAATTCAGACAGTGGCCTTGCCATATCAAGTGTTTTTTTGTTTTCTGGTATGTTACAGCTGTTGTCGTTTTGGTGAACTCTACACTCAATGAGGGACTTGAACTCACCACTTCAAACAAGATTAGGAGTCATATGCTCTACCTTCTGAGCCAGTCAGATGCCCCCATAGTTAAGTGTTTTTAAAGTTGGAGCTGAATTTGTCTCTATAGGATAATGGTTTCTACTATATGTAAAAAAGAAAAAAGGAAGAAAAATAGGAAAAAACCAAGATTTAAATAAGAAAAGGTTTAGGAGACAAATCAACTAACTATAATGGGCACCAGAGTTGAGCATCTGCCTTTGGCTCAGGTCGTGATCTCAGGGTCCTGGGATCAAGTCCCTCACTGGTCCTCCCACGAGGAGCCTACTTCTCCGTATGCCTTGGTCTCTGCCTCTCTCTGTGTGTCTCTCACGAATAAATAAATAAAATAAATTTTTTTTTAATTTTTATTTATTTATGATAGTCACACAGAGAGAGAGAGAGAGAGAGAGAGAGAGAGAGAGAGAGAGGCAGAGACACAGGCAGAGGGAGAAGCAGGCTCCATGCACCAGGAGCCCGATGTGGGACTCGATCCCGGGTCTCCAGGATCGCGCCCTGGGCCAAAGGCAGGCGCCAAACCGCTGCGCCACCCAGGGATCCCCAATAAAATAAAATCTTAAAAAAAAAATGTTTGAGGGGCAGTCTGGGGGGGCTCAGTTAAATAAACGTACACTCTTGATCTCAGGGTGGTGAATTCAAGCCCCATTGCTTCACACTGGATGTGGAGCCTGCTTTAAAAATACAGAAAATTTAAAAAAAATCATTACGTCTAGCCTACATCTCTTCTCTGAACTATATATTCTTAAACAATTCTTTTCCTAACAGTTGTCTGACAGGTGCCCTGAATTTGACATGCCCCAAATCAAGCTTCTGATCTCCCTCTGTATCTTTCCAAATCTATTCTTTTCTCCCCATTTCTCATGACCTTTCAGTGATTTCTCCAGTTTTCCAGTTCCTTCGGACCAATAACATGAGGATAAACACTGACACTTCGTTTTGTCCACACTCCAGATTTATGAGAAATTTTGTTGTCTTTGCCTTAAAAACATCCAGGACGGGACATTTCTCATATGCTCCTCATGAGCCAGTCTGGTCCAAGCTCCATCATCCCTCTCCTGAGTGGTTAAGATAGCTTCTTTACAATCACCCTATTTTTCTTTACTCTGCCTAAGGTTTCCCAGTTTTGTTTATTTTTTTTTTTTTTTAAGATTTTATTTATTTATTAGAGACAGAGACACAGGCAGAAGGAGAAGCAGACTGGGCAGGGAGCCTGATGTGGGACTCAATCCCGGGTCTCCAGGATCACACCCCAGGCTGCAGGCGGCGCTAAACTGCTGCGCCACTGGGGCTGCCCTGTTTCTCAGTTTCAAACCAGTAAACAGAACGTTAGGTTTGAATTAGGTTATAGTCCTCTCTCTTTTACAAAACCTGGGGTGAACTTTTCAAACATCCCTTTTCCTTCTCTGATCTATCACTTACTCTTCTTCCCATTTCATGCTCTGCTTCAGCCACACTGGCCCCCTTGCATGCCTCAAGGATTCCAGGTTCTTGCCTCCTGACCTTTATATTTGCCATTTCCACTGCCTGGAATACTGTTTCTCCAAATAAAGACACTGATGATTCTCATTGGCTTGAGGACTTGACTGAAATGCCACATTCTCAGCAAATCATTCTCTGATAGCCATATGTGACGGTATTCTTGCACAGGGTTCCCTCTCCTCTTTCACCGCTACATTTCCAACACCCACAACAGCACCAAGTGGTGCTTAGTAATACCTGTTGACTGCATTACTTAAACTGATGCTAAAGTTGACTGAGGAAGACATCAAGGAAGTGATGTTATTTCATGTATGCCAAGAAGGAGGAGTAGGACTTCAAAACGGAAGGGAAACAAACAATAAAAACATATTTAAAAAAAGAGAGAGAGTATAAGTGGAAGAAATACCAAGAAACATTGATGGGTCACTTTCTTGTTGACTTTAGGTTTTGGCAAGTATGTAGAAATTGTTTCCATGTATGTAGTCAGTGTCTTTTTTTTTTTTTAAGATTTTATTTATTTATTCATGAGAGACACACAGAGAGAGGTAGAGACATAGGCAGAGGGAGAAACAGGCTCCCTATGGGGAGCCTGATGTGGGACTTGATTTCAGGACTCTGGGATCAAGACCTGGATGAAGGTAGTTGCTCAAACACTGAGCCACCCAGGTGCCCCCAGTGTCTTACTGTGAACTCTAAACCAATCTGTATTAAAAATAAACGCAGTTTAAGAACAATTATCTAACTTAACTGATATCTATCTAAAGTTGTGTTGTCTTTTTAAAAAAATTTATTTATATGGCAGAAAGAAAAAGAGAGAAGAGCACAAGCAGGGGCAGAGGGAAAGGGAGAATCAAATTCCCCACAGAGCAGGGAGTCCCCATGAGGGGCCCAATCCCAGGACCCTGGGATCATGACCTGAGATGAAGGCAGATGCTCAACTGACTGAGCCACCAAGGTGCCCCTTTTCTCCCCCCTGCCCCCATAATGCCACATTCCTAAGAGAGCAGCAAAGAGAAAGGAGAGGGGAAATAAGGTGCAAACTCAAGTCCTAACCCTTCAGCCACTGGAAGTTATGCACAAAAATTCAGCAGTATCCACAGGCCTCACCTAAAAGCGGCAGCGACGAAGTCTTGCTATTGTTTGTTGTTGAGTTGTTCTTCCGTTTGACCCGAGGGACGAATTTTTTCTCCACAGCTCTTATCTTATGTGCAAGAACTTCTGTCATCATTGCTGCCCTCTTCTTCCCAGAACGAGGTACGGGCTGAGTAAAACGTTTTCTTTTTTTACGACAGGGTGTGAGCACCTCAATGGCCCCAGACTTGATCTTGGCTTCCATTCCTTCTCTAGAGCCAAACTCATCTGTGTCTGAGAGTTTGTAGAGTGGTAGCACATGCAGCTGCTCATCTTGAGGGATAACCCCCAAGGAGCGGTTATCTTCTCGTGTTAAAGTACAAACCTGACAGAAAGAAAACACGAAATAGGTCCTACACATTTATCATAGTTTATTTCTACCTTCTAACTGTTGCTATTGTCAAGAGGATCTGTGTTCCTATTCTATTTTCCAGTGGTTACTGATGGATAGTAATTCTGGATAAACTACCATATAATAAGCCACTCAACACTCTTCAATTCTGGTAATTTATCAGTTATTTATAAGCAGATCAGTATAATTTTGAGTTGAAATGATAAGTAAATGATATTATACATGTTTATGTATTTTATAATATTTTTAAAAAGTAAACTGTATCCCTAATGTGGGGCTCAAACTCACAATACCCCAAGGTCAACAGTCACATGCTGTTCCAGCGAGGCAAATCAAACCCATATAATATTTTAAACATTAAACCTTTTTGTTACATTCCATTGTACTTCATTGTCTAAGTTAAGGAATGTCTGCAGGATTGTCCAAAGCCTTCATATTAAATATTAACTATTAAGAAGACATTATTTTAGCCTATATATTGCCCTATTTTTAAAAAAGATTTTATTTATTTGAGAGAGAGGGAGAGTGAGAGACAGACCGTGAGCAGGGGAAAGGACAGAGAGAGGAGCAGACTCCCTGCTGAGCACAGAGCCCAAAGTGGGGCTCCATCCCCAGACCCGGGGATCATGACCAGATCCAAAGGCAGATGCTTAACTGACTGAATCACCCAGGTGCCCTATTACCCTATTTCTTAAGTTATGTCACATTCTTTGGGTAGAGGGGGATTGATTATTAAGAATTTTCTATTTGCTGTATTTTCATTAAGGGTTTTTCCACTTCTGCTTAGAAGTGGAATTTATTGATAGATCTATAGATATTTTTTTTTCCTTCAATCCCTTTCTCTGCCTGTTAAGAGTGATTTTTCTTTCCTCATTAAATGAACTGAACCGGTATTAAATAAGTTAAAGAAGAGGCACAAGAGATTTCTTTTTCTAGCAGGACTCATGTTCTAATAGTTTTTAATTTATATTTTATTATTTTAAAAATTATTTATTTAAAAAAATTCTAATAGTTTTTAAAAGTTAAACATTTCATTTTGATAAATTTTCTCTTTCTGCTTCATGTTGCTTCTGCTTTGGTTAGGAATATACCAGTAAGCTCTACCTACCTACCTTTCTTTCTTTCTTTCTCTCTTTTTTTTTAAAGATTTTATTTATTTATTCATGTGAGACACACGCAGAGAGAGAGAGAGAGAGAGAGAGGGAGAGAGAGGCAGAGACACAGGCAGAGGGAGAAGCAGGCTCCATGCAGGGAACCTGACATGGGACTTGATCCCGGGTCTCCAGAATCATACCCTGGGCAGAAGGCAGCGCTAAATTGCTAAGCCACTCGGGCTGCCCCCTACCTTTCTTTTGAATGTGAAATAAGACATTTAAAGAAAATTCTCTCTTGAATATAACTTTATCTCAGTCCTTATTCTTTATTTTTTTCCCTTCTCCTTACTTTAAAAGCTTTTATTTTTATTCATTATAGAAAGAAAAAACAGAACTACTACTATTCCTGACTTTAATACCTAATATTAAAAATTAAATTAAATATTAATATTAACTATTCTTCATAGAATAGGATCTTAATGGTAATTAATTTGCAAGTTATCATTAAGGATCCACCAAAGATATATCCTTACTTTAAAAGCTTTTATTTTTATTCATTATAGAAAGAAAAAACAGAACTACTACTATTCCTGACTTTAATACCTAATATTAAAAATTAAATTAAATATTAATATTAACTATTCTTCATAGAATAGGATCTTAATGGTAATTAATTTGCAAGTTATCATTAAGGATCCACCAAAGATATATCCAATGGATAATTTGGATTTTTATTAAAAACATTTCTTCTAGAGCTGAGGGGCTCTTTCTAAGCCAGTAGGCTGGAAAGAAAGAAAACTGCCTGATTATAAGGTTGATAGAGTTGATGAATACAGATGATAATGTAAGATAAGCATAAAGTTTTAAAAATCACACTATTTTCACATATTTACAGTCACATTTAACAGGAATACTTTAAATATTGAATTCTCTGGGTTGAAAAAAAAAAGAATTCTCTGGGTTGTAATTTGTCAATAATTTAAAAGCAATCATGTTAAAACCTAGACTCTTCCACCAATAAATATTTACTTTAATCAGTTTATTTGTTCACAGGGAGAATAAGAAAAGGACCAGGACCTGATATGAGGAGCATAATTAGAAAGACTGAGGCAGCAGAAAAGAATTGGCAGCTGAATTTTAAGAATTCAGGGTTTTCAGAGACGGGGAAATTTGGAGTTATGTCAAGTTCTAAGTATGAGCCTCATGGCATGAGCAAGAGCAGTGGAGAAGAGGCATCACTGAATAATACACAAGAAAAGATGAACCAGAATTTGGTTTGACACTAAACCTAATTCAGCCTGATGATCTATAATGAAGCAAATAAGGTCAAACGTACTAAGCAATGACGACACGTTGGCTAAGATTCACCCGGACAGATTTATAATATTTCAACATTTGAAAATTACATTGGTCTCAAAGACTACAGTATACGGCAGTGGAGAAGAATGATATCAACAAAAAGCAAAAGAAAAAGAAAGGCTCCTTAATCTATCACAAAGTTTATTGGCCAAACGAGGAAGGAAGGCTGCCTTTTGATGGCTTAGACTGTGTACTTTCAAGATCCCATAGCTATCTTTTATATGGGGCCAACCAAACAGACTGGTGTAGTGCAAAAAATAGAGCGGTATGTTTTACTAAATAAGAAGACAATTACTTGAAGCAAACCCATTTCTTTTTTCCCTTTCTTTCTTTCTTTCTTTCTTTCTTTCTTTCAGCAAACCCATTTCACTTACAAAAGGTTTAATTGCACGATTTTCCCCAGGCTCTTTTACCTAATTTAAAATATCTTCACTGATTTCATGCTAGGGGCATGTAATTCTTTTCATGGCTGTAAACCTAAGCATGCATTTCTAAATGCAAATATTTCTGATGATTCTGGAATAGTAATGTAACATACATATATACTGGCATTAAGAACAAACATGCACAAAAAACATGATAAATTTGGCATAGTTCCTTCACAAAAACCCTGAGGTACACAGAAGGCAAAACCGAAACCAAACCAAACAAGAAAACCAGTAAGTTGTTTAACTTTCCAACTACCAGTCTGATAACATAGAACTGTACTCCTATCTCCTAGCAAAGGTAACCACAATGATTCAAGACTTGCAACAAAATATTCAAGGCCAGTCCTGTAACTTCGACAGTAAACTTAAATTGTATTGATATATACTATGAGGGACAGAAAATAAAATAGGACTTTGAACAATAATCATGTTTCAGGACCTCAGCCTAAGAAAGCCATGGATCTTTTAGAATCAAAAGGCACCCAGGTACATACCACAGTGCTTCCATTATTCATGTTGTGGATGTCCCTGTGGGGATGGGCACAGAAGTCTAGGCAAGCAGTGACCCCAGAGAAAGGACGCCCTTCTTTGCTGCCAAGCCGACATTCTCGGGCAACATGTTCATATTCTACCTAAATGAGAAATGGGTAACACACAGCTTTAAAAGGCAGGAAGAATCACCTTTAGCAAAGAGTAAAAATTACTTCCTGACAAAGTTCTTGACCTAATTACACTTTGTAATTTCAATAACTTCTGCCTACAGGGTGGTAAATAGTGGATGTGTAGCTCAGAAACATTCAGGAGGAAGAGTCTTGAAGATTGAGACATGAAGTAAAATGACAATGACTGGATGTGACTAATGGTAGGGTGACAACAATACCAGCTGGTGGTGAATAAACAAGCAGAAGAAGCTTAAATTATCCCATTAGGAAGAGAGACTACTATAGTGCATTAATCACATGTAAAGAGTTTTCAATGTCTATAAAAAGTACGCATACATAAATACCTATGTTCATCAGCTAATATAGAAAGTGAATTTTAACTCTTTAAAAATGAAAATTTAGCAATTAACAGAGAGCATGCTATTCATGATAATACAAATAAAGATTTAATTAAGAAATCTCAATTCCTCACTTCATAAGGATGATTTTGTGTGTGTGGTGGTAACATTTTAGATTCTTAAACACTTTTAAGTATATAAATAGTATTGTCAATTGTAGTCCCCATGCTGTGCAGTCAACAGATAAAATCTTATTTATCTTATACCTGAGAGCTCATACCCCAATCATCCTCTCATTCCCCCATACCTCATTTATTTCTTGGTGATGTCCTTTGAAGTACAGAATTTAAAACTCTTGCAACCTATTTTATCCTTATTTTTATTTTTGGATTGTCTATTGATAATAGATAGAAACATAGGGCCTCTACATAATGATCTTGTATCACGAAAGCTTGCTAAACTCATTTATTAGCTTGAATAGTGGGTGTGTATGTATGTGTGTTCCTCAGTAGTTTCCACATAAAGGATCATACCAGTCGCTAGTAGAAATTATTTTATCTCCTTTTGTAGTCTGAATTTCTTCAACTTGTTCTTAATAGAACCTCCAGCAAAATGTTTAATAGAAATGGTGAGAGTACATACTGTCTTGTTCCAAATATTAAGTAAAAAATTTTTTGGTCTTTAATTGTAATTATGATATTTTCCGTGGGTTTTTATAGATGTCCTTTATCAGGCTGAGGCAATTCCCTTCTATTGCCATTTTCTTAACTGTTTTAATCATGAATGTGTTGAATTTTGTCAAGTATCTTCTATCTATAAGGACTTTTGTTTTTATGGTTTTTGTAATGTTTTATCAATGTAGGTAGTATACTACATTGATTAATTTTCTTGTGTTGAACCAATCATGCTTAAATTAAAATGCATAAATTCTAAAAATGCATAAATTACATTTTTAGAATTAATCAGAACTCTATCATTCTGGAGTTTTAGTTTAATTGTCATAATAAGAAGTCTTTTAAAAACAAGCTAAAAGGGGGGGCCGGGGAAAAAAGGGGGGGGCAGGGAAAAAAAAAAGCTAAAACAATCAGGTAAACCCAGGCTGGATAATTTAAGCTGTTCTAAAAGTAGATATATACTCAAGTTGAAATTTGAAGGTTTTCTATTAACAATGATGCTAACATAGAAATTTCAACCATGTTTAAGAGCACTGTATATGGTCCCAAAACGTACCTGGTTTTGGTAAGCAACTGGAGCATACTGCTTATAAATTGGAGCTAATCGTGTAGCCAAACTCTGTAAATTATCTTCAAGGTTTTTTTCCTACAGGAAAAGACAGTCCATAAAAGTTGTTTCATAATGACATGAGTTTTAGGTATGAAAATGAATCATAAATCATTGCTGATATATGGTTGATGCACAAAGCATACTTACCCTAATAATAGGCTACCATAGAAAATAACAGATTTTTTTAAAAAAAATCTAAACTATTGGTCATTGTTATGCTTTAATTTAGTCTTTTGAAATTCAAGTTCTATGTTATAAGCTAACTAGAAATCTAAAGGTTGTTAGAAGTAAGGTGTGAAATGGGTCATGTTGCTAAATACAAGAACCCTATTTTATATTTATTCAATAGTACTGGGCACTTGAAATAAATCAAGACAGGGTTCCTATTGGCAAAAAGAGTTGTTGAAGTAAAGAACTCTGACACAGTGCAGCAAGTTTCTATAACAAAAATGGGAGAACAAACATAATACGTATACTACAAATCAGATCCTGTGCTAATAGCTTCAAATATAGCGAAGTGGTCAACAGTTGTCTAAAACTAGGGTTTTCTTTGTCACATTATAATGGCCACAAATTGAGGAAGACTTAGTGGGATAGTAATGAGCCTTGACACCATTATCAAGAATCTGGATTGCTACTTATAGTAGAAACATTTTAAGACTCCTTTTTAAGGAGAACAGTTATGACAAATGTCTCTATTACAAATAACACTGAAGTTTCAGTTCAGGTCATGATCTCAAGGATGTGAGATTGAGCCTGGAGTTGGGATCCAAACTCAGAGCCAACTCAGCTTGAGATTCTCCCCACCTGGCCTCAAGCTCTCTCTCTCAAATAAATATATAAAATCTTAAAACAAAAACTACACAAAACAAAACAAAAACCCACTAAAGACAGTATAAGGTATGCAGCAGATAGGGTAGATTTTGGAAACGATAGTTGAAAGACCACTGTGATAATTTTTGAGAAGATTGTATCCTAAATAAAATCAAAGACTCGATAAATGATCAGTCACACCCAAGGGAGACTAAAGAAGGGGAACTGAGAGCAAGGATGAGACACTTATGAAGGCTTGATGCTTCTGCTTCATTTGAGATTTGGTGGATGCCAAGAACACTGAAACAAGACCTTCATGTGGATTAGTTCACTATGATTTGCAGTAAATTATTATAAAACCAAAGCCACATGCAATGTAGACATAGGAAGTTCTTTCTTTCTTTTTTAAAAAATTTTATTTATTCATAAAAGACACAGAGAGAGAGGCAAAGATATAAGCAGGCTCCCTTCCGGGACTCCAGGATCATGCCCTGAGCCAAAGGCAGACATTCAACTGCTAAGCCACCCACGCATCCCAGGAAGTTATTTCTTGAGCACATTTTACAAAACCCATTTGGGCAACTGTAAAGCATCAGTGATAACCTTGTAGTGTCCCACAGATTTAGGTTCATGTGCTCATTGAAGAAGAAATTTATGGACATCAGGTCTATATCTAGATTACTCTGTTCCTTTTATCTGTCTTACATATGTATCTGGTACTTAATATAGTTTCATAAATATAGCCAAGACAGTCAGGACCTTACTTTAGAAACACTTCCTAACTATACTCACCCATTAATTATTTATTTGGGGAAAACTTAACATTTGTGATTTAAGTACCTACTGAAAATATTATGATTATGGTTCCTAACACTTGAAATATTAGGTGGAGTAGATATTAGGAGTCGTCTTAACGATGACAAGATTATGAACCATCTGGTCAGCCCGAGTAATGAGGCATCATGAAATATCTCTTTTAGTGTAGAAATGTTGAAATAAAGTACGTACATAGAAGCAAATGAAATAAAGCTTGAGAGCTGACCATTGGTATCATCTTACAAATTTAAGTCTCATTAAACATAATGTAAATATACTGACTTTCTAATTGTCTCATTAGAATGAATGTGCAAGTTAGATATAAAAGTTTCTTATCAGATCTTTACCTATTAGGGCTCAGGCCTACATTCCCATGCTCTTCTCATCCTATACCTGATCCCTAGGATATAGTGGCATATATCCACTACCTAGACCACAAATCATAGCTATAGGGACGCCTGGGTGGCTCAGCAGTTGGGTGGCTGATTTCAGCTCAGGTCGTGATTCCAGGGTCTGGGGTCAAGTCCTGCATCCAGCTCCTGTGAAAAGCCTGCTTCTCCCTTGTCTAGGTCTCTGCCTCTCTCTCTCATGAAAACAAACAAACAAACAAACAAACAAACAAAAAAACCCCACAAATCACAGCTACAGTTACGACCTAGATCACAAATCATACTTGAGCTTCTTCTTTTTATTATTTAAGATTGATTTATTTATCAGAGAGAGAAAAAGGACACAAGGGGGGAAGGAGCTGAAGGAGAGAATCTTTAAGCAGACTCCTCACTGAATGTGGAGCCTGATGTGGGGCTTGTTCTCAAGACCCATGAGATCATGATTGAAGCTGAAACCAAGAGTCTAATCCTCAACTGACTGAGTCACCCAGGTGCCCTCAGATTCTTATGATTAACCTGATATCCCCATGTGGATTTTTTAAAAAAGATTATTTGACAGAGCAAGGGAACACAAGCAGGGGGAGCAGCAGAGGAAGAAGAAGAAGCAGGCTACCTGCTGAGCAGGGATCCCAATGTGGGCCAGATCCCAGGTCTCTGGGATCGTGACCTGAGCTGAAGTTAGATGTTTAACAGATTGAGCCACCCAGGCACCTGCTGCAAAGGATTTTATAGAAATCTCTCATCTAGTGGTTCCAAAATGAATTTATTATCTGCCCTTTTGAAACTCAGTTCTAGTTCCACATACTCTTATATATCAAGCCATAGCACTGTCATCTAATAATTAAAATCCTTCCAGACGAACCACTGCCCACCATTTCCTCCCTCACAGCCATATTTTAAGTCACAATTATCCTTTGTCTGTACTATTCTTAAGGCAGGCTCATCTTGGGAAACACATTCTTACGAACTCCAATCCATTATTCAAAGAGAAGTCAGAGAGATCTCTTTCAAAGACAAGTATAACTGTATTACTCTCATCAAAATCCTTCAATTATCTTCCATAATGTTTGACATCACTTAGAAGGCCACTGCATTCACCTTACTCTCCCTTGTCTGCTGAGTTTCAAACTGGCCTTCTGTCAGTTTCTGTAATGAGAAATGCTTCTTTCTGTATTATAAGCACTACATAGATGTTACTCAATATTTAAAATGACCAGAAACAAAATCTGATTTGATACTCATTATTTATATATTATTCTGTTGTAGAATAAAAATTTAATGGTCATATAAATATTACTAGTAAATTTATATATTGTTAGTTTTATAATATAATATTTGGAAAGAACATTTAACTGATTATTTTAAGGGAGAACGGATATCACATTACCAAGTGTTCTTCTGCTTGAACATAGCACCTTTTCCATTATCAGGTGTTTTATATGTACTTTACTCAATTTTTAGTTTTCTCCCTAAAGGTCTAATACATACCCTCTTTTAAAAATGTAAGCTCTACACCCAACATGGGGCTTGAACTCATGACTGAGACCAAGAGTTGTACATTCTACCGACTGAGCCAGTCAGGCACCCCTAACATACTTATTAGAATTCTTCTACAGTCCATGATCTGCAAATGATAGTTCGCTCTCTGGAATCATTTCCTTGTTTAATTGCAGTAGATGGCAACTCTAGAAAATGTTAAATAATTCTGATTATCTCTTTGCAGGGATTAATATTAATTCTGAGTTTCTCGAAAGATGTTATATTTATTGTATTATATAGTTGGATTTATTCCTATTTTATTTTGTGCTTCCTATTTATCTTGCATTTTTATGATTTTTAAAAACCCTTTCAGATTGTCATCTTTTATAGACTTTTTTCCCCACTATTTCAAATATAAAAATTCTATTTTTGTTGATTTAAAAAAACCTTAAAGCATACACTTTCTCTCTCAAATATATGTTTTTCTAATAACATCTAGAGCAGTGTTTTCCAAGCTGTGGGTCATGACTCATTTGTGGGCCATGAAATCAGTTTAGTAGGTAACAACTAACATTTAATGAAAGAAAATGAAATTTTATATAAAATATTATAGTGAATCATAGTAATCCTTAGCAATAGCTAGACCGGATATTAATTTTTTAATATTTTAATATGTTCTCTTACATAGAAGCTGAAGTATTATTTTCTGATGGTTTTAATTATTCACTTACATATACCTATTATATAGCAGTTTGTAAATATAAAATGCTTTTTATACTTGGTCATAGCTCAAAGTTTGAAAAACACTGATCTTAGTATCTAAATCCTCCCCACTCCAAACAAACCATAAAACATACCACACTTATTTCCTCTGGGTGCCCCACCCCCTCCCAGTGCCTACCCACCCTTGAGTTGATAAGAGTATGGAATTATAGTTATTGGTTGTTATTTTAATTTAAAAAAATGTAAGTACTCAACTTATTTAAACTTAACAGTAAGGTTGACTAATTTCTTTGCTCACCATGGCCTCGTGTCCCGGACAGATTGGTTCCGGTTTCATATATCTTCTTTCTGGATTACGTCCTTTAGTAATTCTTTCATAGTAGTTCTGTGGGTAGTAAACTTTCTGAGTCTTTCAAATGTTGGCAAATGGCTTTATTTATTCCTCCTACTTTGGCTGGATATAAAATTCTAGGTTCTTTTAACAATGATTATCTCTGGGGTTAAGGGAGAAGGAGGAGGGAACCAGGGATAGTTGGAATTTGGGTTGGTAATTGAAGACTTTACCTAATTTATTGAGAATTTTAAACTATTTACATATATATATAAATATATATATTCTTATGGGTTTTTTTACTACTTTTTAAATATTTCACTGTTTTACTATTTAGAAAATATTTTAAGGAATGTACTTATAAATTTATTGTGTAATTGAAAAGTAAAAAAGAACACTTACATGTAAGGGAGAGCTTGGATCAATTCTAAATCTTCTGGGCTTGGGCTTCTACCAAATTTACATCCATTGAAATACATACTCCATGAACAGCCAAAAGAGAACGAAGCTCCACAAGTCTCTGGATCAATTCCTTGACATGTACAGGTACGACTGTAAGATTGCAACGGAATGAACTGATAAAGCAGGCCAATGCCTTAGACAGAACATTTCAGATTCCTGTAACTTTAGAAGAATAGATGGCTAATAAACTATTTTAACATTATTTTATTACTTATTTTATCTTAAGTAGTATTAATAACCCAAAGCTACCTGTCCTTGAATATAAGCAAGTTTTTAACTAAATTGTTCAAGATTGTAAATCCAAATAAACAGTAATAAACTATACAGAAGTACCCATAATTTGATTTGGATATGCCTGAGAAGAAAGAAATGGTCTGCATTTTACTTATTTTATTGAGAGAGAAAGAGAAAGAGAGAGAGAGAGGCTCTTAAACAGGCTCCACACTCAGCTAGGAACCTGACCTAGGGCTTAATCTCGCGACTCTGAGATCATGATCTGGGCTGAAACTAAGAGTTGGGTGCTTAACTGACTGAGCCACCCAGTCACCCCAAAGAATCTGCATTTTAAATCCTGGATCTGTTCCCTATCATAAATGAAAATGAGAGTATCTCATTACCTCTCTGGACTTTAATTCTATTATTTATAAACTGATATTGATATAATCCTCTGAAGATTAATAATGGATAATACATATTTAATGTGAAATTGCTTTGTTAATTTTAAAGAAAGCCTTTATTAAGGTTATAAATGGAAAAACTGAACTGAAAGTTTGTTTCATTAAGGAACTTGGTTATTTTTGCACATTGGGGACATTTCTGAGGCCCCAACATACATGATAGTAAGGATGACAATGGTTAGAATATCCGTAATAAAGATAAGAAACCAAGGGAATAACATTTACTCTGTGGTTTCCAATCCCATAATACTTGAAACTTCTAATATTATGAATGTGCTATTTACATAATGATTACAAAACACAAAAACTCCCATAATTAAAAAAAATCTGTAAATGAAAAATACATAGAAATTGTGATATCAAAACTAGTAGTTTTTAATTGTTAAAGTAAAAAAATACGTGATATTAAGATAACACTGAATACGAAAAAATAAATACATTTATATAATTGAAATGATACATGGTAAGGAAAGAAAAACATAGTTTAACTAACAGCTGACAGTTATTTAAACAATGGAATACATAGGAAATGTAGAGGATTCTGAGACCTAGAAGTTTTAGCAGATTTTCTGAAATCAACATCACTGATAAATAGGACAAATGAATAAAAAATAAGTCCTAATATTATGGAAAAAAGTGTATACCAGTAATTCCTCAATTTAATTTAATTAGTCCTTAAAATTTTATTTATTTATTTATTTATTTATTTATTTATTTATTTATTTATTTATTTGAGAGAAAGAGAGGCAGCAACACAGGCAGAGGGAGAAGCAGGCTCCATGCAGGGAGTGCAACGTGGGACTTGATCCCAGGTCTTCAGGATCACACCCTGGGCTGAAGGCGGTACTAAACCACTGAGCCACCTGGGCCGCCCTACTTTATTTTTTAAAAGAACATCTGCTGGAGGCATTACTGCCTAGCTCGGTCAGTAGACCGTAAGACTTGTTCTTGGGATCGTGAGTTTCAGCCCCACATAGAGAGTACTTAAAAATAAAATCTTAAAAAATATCTATATATATGCTAGGATAGACACTGAGTGAAATAGAATAAAACTAATGCTATTGGATTCTTGGGAAGATAAAAATAATATGTATATCTTTAAAAGCAGTGCCTTCATACAAAAGTTATGATTACTGTGCATCCACATACAAAAGAATTAGCAGACATTAAAAATAGTTTGCATATTATTGGCATTGGAGAGAAAATAATGTAATAAAATGATGACAGAAGAAAAAAAAAAAACAAAAAACCCACACCCATAAAACGATGACATAAACATAAAGGAATACTCTTAAAGTCTTGTGTAGGGATCAGAGAGGGAACAATACATATGTTTTGTTTATATTTTGTATAATGACATCGTTTTTTCCTGTTTAAAAAACATCTTCTTTTTTCAAGATTTTATTTATTTATTTGACAAAGAGAGAGAGCATAAGCAAGGAGAATAGAGGGGAAAGAGATAAGTAGACTTCCTGCAGAGTATAAAGAATACTCTCTAAGTTTGCCTGGCTGACTCAGTCAGAAGAGCATGATCTCAGGGTCTGACTCTTATTTTATTTTTTAAAAAGATTTTATTCATTTATTAATAATAAACACACAGAGAGAGGTAGAGACATAGGCAGAGGGAGAAGCAGGCTCCCTGTGGGGAACCCAATGTAGGACTCGATCCCAGGACCCCGGGATCATGACCTGAGCCAAAGGCAGATGTTCAACCACTGAGCCACCCAAATAACCCCCAGGGTCTGATCTGGAGATAGTGAAAGCTTGAGGCCCAGGTTGCATGTAGAGATTAAAAACAAACAAATAAGAATACCCTAAAAAGTCTCAACTTGCTATGAAACTGAATTTCTTTTTTTAAAAAAAGGTCATTCTTTAGTTTCAGAATACCTAAAATTCTATAATATGTATAACTGATAGTTAACAATTTAATGTTAAAATAATAGAGGTCTGAATGAATGGGAAAGCAGTACAAAACAGATTTGATTACTTTTCATTGAGCGTGCATCTTCGGTCTGTGGGATGACCATTGTATGACTTTAGGTTTTCAGTAAGCTCCGTGTACAATCTGTCAGCCATGGGAAGAGGAATGCCGTCCCATACCATGATGAGCACCACCATCACAGCAGTTGGACAGTGGTGGCCTGTACGCTGCCGAACCAAACAAAGGACTTTCTCTTCATCACTGCCTCTTCTTAACACCTGGAAAAGTGGAATGCATTTATTTACAGAAAACAAGAAACCTAGAGTTGAGTGCAATGGATATTGTTTAAAGGTCTGTGTCATTGCATTTTAGGTCTTTTAAAACGTGTATTTCTCAAAGGGTTGAAGCTTATAGGACATTCAATTTTCTGACTAGCTGCATACACACAATTCATCAGAGTATCCCAGGTTACTTGACTAACCAACAATAGGCAGAATAGAAGTCTGTGGTATGTGGTTGTTATTTATAAGAGTAGACCAAAGCAGTTTGTTTTATTTCACTGTTGATACAGTATTGCAAAAGAGACAACACAGGATCTCCTGGAAAAGCGCCTATTCTGCTCTTCCACAAATGCCATAATAGGACAAATCTAGCTACATGCAAATTACCAAGGACTCCCACTATGAAAACTGAACTTCAGCACTGAAATTTAGCATCTGTGGAAAGTTACAGATCTTTTCCTTGGGTGAATGGTTTTATTATACAGAATAATTAATATACAAAGCAATGTTCTGCAATTTCTGTGATTTTTCCATGCTATCACATACCCGTATTTATTATTTATCATACCCACATTATCATAAGATTAAGGTGGTTCAGTTGACATGGTAAATGCAAAATACAACAATTAATTTTGAATAGTGATTGATTTATCTTACACTGCATCATACCCATAGGGTGCTAAAAAGGTCTCAAAATACTTAAAAATATTGCCTAGTGGACTCATTGCATACAAAAAGAATTACATAAAAATCTTGACAAGACATAAAACCAACCAATTCTGGTTAAAACTCTCTCCATTTATCACAAATTAACAGAGCAAAGACACTGACCACATTAATCAGTATATAATCAGTAAATGATAAAGGTGCCCACCCCTGTGACCAAAATGGAGCAACCAACAGCATACTTAAGATTTCAATTTTGTTGCTATAATAATATTACATAAACTTGAGATGAAACTTCTTAAGATGTTAGTTACCCAATATCACTTTCTTCTGTCACTCCAGATGGTTAACAATCATTGCTACCAAGGCATCCCTTGAGTAGAGTTGGCTTTAGGACCTTCCCCCTAAACACAATTATTTATATTAAAATTTTTTTCTATATTTATATGTCCTTTTACAGCCAAATAAGAATACATTTGCTTTCAAATAAGGTCAAATACAAAATGATATATATTGTATCAAACAAAATTATACCAGATACTTTTTAAGTTATCAAACAAAGAACAAAGTTACATTGATCCAGTCTTTGCATGGGAAATGCTAAAATGCTATTTCTTAGGTATCTATGTTTTCCCCAGATTTTTCAATATCCATTAGGGAACGTCAGAAAATAGAGCATAATTCAGATTTAGGTTCAATAAACACCTTTAGTATTGCCTTGGTATGGATATTTGTGACCACTCAAAATCCATATATTAAATCCTGAATCCCAATTGTAATGGTATTAGGAAGTAGGGCATTTGTGAGATAAGTAAATTATAAGGGGGAAGCTCTCATCAGTGAGATTAGTGTTCAATGCCTTCAAAACATGTGCAAACACAAAGAGAAGAGGGCCCTCACCCAACCATGCTGGGTCCCTGATCTAAGACTTCCAAACTCCAGAACTGAGAGAAATAAATTTGTTGTATTGAAGCCACCCAGTCTGGTATTTTCTCATAGCAATATAAATGGAGGAAGACAAGTATTAAACCTGTATAAATAAGACCTATGAAAACTATAAAGACATTAAAAGAAATTAAAGATGACATAAATAAATAGAAAGAAGTACCATTTTAATGGAATAGACACTATATAATGCTGTCAATTTTCCCAAAATGGATATCTAGATTTGACATAATTTCAAACAAAATCCTATCAGAGTTTATTTTGTTTTGGGTGGAAATTAACAAAGTTATGCCAAAATTTATATGGAAATGCAAACGACCATTAAAGAGCAAGAAAATGAACAAAGGCAAAGTAGTTTACCAGATTATCAGTATTTATTGTAAAGCTATAGTAATTATAGTCTAGTTTTGGTGCAATGACAGATAAATAGATTAATAGAATAAAGAGTACAGGAGATGCATATACATATGGCCATTAGATTTATGACACAGTTGACATTGTAATATAAAGTAGTCTTTTCAAAAAATGGTACTATGTAGATATCCCTATGGGAAAAATATGAATCTTGACTCCTACTTCACATAAGTAGCTTGGTTATATTGTTGATCTAAATATGAAAGTTAAAACAGTAAGTTTTTGGAAGAAAACATCTTAATGATCTTGAAGTAGGTAAAACAATTTTAGAATAAATTGTCAAATTTAATCATTATAAAGGAAAAAGTTAAAGAAGTTGGATAATAGGGGTGCCTGGCTGGCTCAGTTGGGAGAACATATGAGTCTTGATCTCGGGTTGGAAGTTTGAGCCCTATGCTAGCAGTAGAGATTACATAAAAATAAAATCTTAAAATCTTAAAATCTGGATTATTATAACTAAGAACCTCTGTTCATCAAAAACATTAAGTAGCAAAGGATCAAGAAGCTATGAAGGTTGGGCAGCCCGGGTGGCTCAGTGGTTCAGTGCCACCTTTAGCTCAGGGCATGATCCTGGAGACCCAGGATTGAGTCCCACATCAGGTTCCCCACATGGTGCCTGCTTCTACCTCTGCCTGTGTCTCTGCCTCTCTGTGTGTCTCTAATGAATAAATAAAATCTAAAAAAAAAAAACAAACCAAAAAACAAAAAGCTATAAAGTCAAGCAATACAGTAGGAGAAATATTTGCAGTACATATAATTGACAAAATATTTTTACCCAAAATATCTTAAAAAAAAATTTCTCCAAGTGAGCAATAAAAACACAATAGAAAACTGGCCAAAAAAATCAGATAGGCTCAATACAAGAGAATATCAAACAGATGATGAACATATGAAAATATGCTCCATATTACTAGTCATGCAGCAAGTAAAAAAAATTTTAAAGCACCACATATGTTGGTGGATTATAAAATGGTACAACTGCTATACAAAACAGTCTGGAAGTTCCTCAAGAAATCAAAAATAGAATCCCCATGTGATCCAAGATTTAACTTCTGAGTATACATCCAAAAGAACTGAAAGCAAGGACTAAAATAGTTATCTGCATATGCATGTTCATAGCAGCACTATTCAAAATAGCCAAGAGGTGGAAGCAACTCAAATGTCCATTGACAGATGAATGGATAAATAAAATGTGGCATATACATATAATGGAATATTATTCAGATGTAAAAAGGAAGTCCTGTTAATTGCTACAATATGGAGCAACCTTAGGATATAATGTTAAGTGAAGTAAGCCAGGCACAAAAAAGCGAAGCTGTATAATTCCAGTTATATGACTACTACCTAAAGTAGTCAAATTTATAAAACATAAAAGTGGAATGGTGGTTAATAGTGGCTGTGATCGTGGGGAAATTGGGAGTTATTTAATGGGTATAACGTTTCAGATTTGAAAGATGAAGTAGTTCTAGAGTTCCAGCTCACAATGTGACCATATAACATTCCTGATCTGTATACTTAATATCAAAAAAAGAGGAAAGAGGTCTTAAAGAGGTACTAATACTAAGTAGAATGTCTAAAATGACAAAGAAAACAACCAGCATTAGTAAGGATTTGGAGAACTGGAACACTTGTACGTTACTTAAGTGAATATAAAAAAGGATAAACACTTTGGAAAACTACATGTTACTATCAACCAAAACTGCACATATGCACACGCTGTTCCCCACCGCCTGTCCCATTTCTAGGCAATTCCATTTCTAGGTATATATCACACAAAAATGTATTCTTATAATTCCCAAAGACAGCATCCATAGTCGTATTTATCCCAAACTGAAAACAACTCAAATGTCAATCATCAGAAGAGTAACTCAATAAATTTTACCTATTTATGATAATGGAACACTACAAAACAATGAGAATTAGAATGATATACAATTACAGAAAACATAAATTAATCTTACAATTCTAATGCTGCATAAAAGACAAGACAAGAATAATGACTTTAAGACTATGTATAGAACATTCAAATCAGACATGATTAGTCCATAATGTTAGAAGAAGGAGAGAGAGTACTTTTAAGGGGTAACAGGAAGGGGGTAGAAGAGTGCTTCTGAATGAAGTGCTAGTAGTTTCAGTAGTTTCAGATGCCAGTCACACAAAGGTGTTCACTTTATTTTTTAAAAGGTGTTCACTTTATCTATCTATCTATCTATCTATCTATTTATTTTTAAGGTGTTCAATTTAGAAAAATTCTGTGACCTTAGGATTTCTACAGTGTTCTGTATGTACGCTATAGTTAATTAAAAAGTGTACCTAACCCTAAATTGAAAAACACAAACCTGAAATCATTTAGTCAATTTACTGCATCAGGATTTAGCAAGTGTCTTAACTTTTCTATAATAGCACAGAGCTAGGTTCTTAATAAACATTAGCCACTATTTTATGTCTTTTGGTTTTATTACTGCACACATGGCTTCTGAGCACAGAATTCAGCTCATCAAATAAAAATTTGTTGAATAGATGGGTAAAAAGCACAAAAAACTAATATGGTTGCATTTTATGAAAATTTCAAAAATGTAAGTTACATTATTAAGTTGAAAACTCATTTCAAAAAAAAAAAAAAAAAGATTTTAGGGATGCCTGCGTAGCTCAGCAGTTGAGCATCTGCTTTCAGGTCAGGGCGTGATCCTGGGATTCCAGGATCCAGTCCCCCCATGGGGAGCCCTGCTTCTCCCTCTCCCTAGGTCTCTGCCTCTCTCTGTGTGTTTTGAATGAATGAATCTTAAAAACAACAACACATTATTTTGTAGCTGGAGGGTGTATTAATTTGTAAACTGTTGAATTTATGACCACATGGCAATGGCAATCACATTAGATGGTAAATGATGCATATAAAATTCTGAGTAATGTCTGTGACTACTTTTCTATTATTTAAAAATATGTATTTGTATAATTTCTATTTCATATTATGA